TATAAAGTAACCTAAAGATATTTAGATTCAAGGTCTTGTATGTTCAAATAGTTTGAATTATTTTTTCAATTTTTCTTTGTTTTACCGGTTAATTTAGATATAAAAAAAAATACTGCATATTTGTGTATATTATATGAATTTTTCAAAAACAAAATTGTCATTTTCGGATATTTTTTAATAATTTGGTTAAAAAATAGTTGAATCTAACAAACCCAATTTTTGTGTAATTATGATATTTTCGTGTATTTCGGTAAAATAACCCAAAAATGGAACCCAAAAAAGAATTCGGTATTAACATATTTCAAGTCTATAACTGAATCAAGCGAACCCGATTCAAAAACTATAAAAATTGGAATGATATTATGGTCTTAAACCCGAGATTTTAAAAGTCTGAGGAGTCAAACCGAACCTGAACGGATAGCCAAACGATGCTTAGTCAAAATAGAAATATATAAAAATTATTTATAAAACGAAATTTAAATGTTCCAATCAGAACAAAACAAACAAATTGTGATTGACAATCTATCTAATATCGTGATTTGTTTTTGTTTTTTCACCCAAAAAACAAGAAGAAAAAAATCGTGAATTTTTGTTGGTCATTAGCTTTTGCTACTTTTCGGATTTTTGTTGGTAATTTTTTATCACATATATATACTCCTAATATTGAGCGGTCCGACTAATAATATATTGTTAAGTTTTCTTGATATTCATAGTTCGCCTCATTTGTGGTTATGTTCATGAAACATCTATAGTATGCGTTCATGTGGACTATAGAAAAGTTGTTTCGTATTAACCGAGACTCTCCCGCGTATACGCAGATAACTTATTTATAAACTTTTAATTTTCATTCTACATTTTGAAATTTTAAAAAATGCATTTGTTTTAGTTTTTATTATCAACATTGTTGTTAACAATTTTATGTTAATAATATAACTTTTTGAAAGTTTAGTTCCACCATTTTATTATTTTATATACGTAAACATATCAAATCCAATATATAATAATTTAATACATTATAATGCACAATCTATTATAAAATTTTGAGATTCCTCTCATAAAAACTTGGACACCCTATTTGATAGTCTTTTTAAACAAATAATTTTCTTCACATTGTATCTTAAATAAAAACTGAATTCGATATCGCCATATTAAAGATTAATATGAACAACTTTCCGTAAAAAAAAAGAAGACCATTTGTATGTAAATAGACCGGTTTTGTGAAAATATTATTAACGATTTCCATAGTTTAATATTGCTCACCAAGGTCTTTCAAAATTTCGGATCTTTTTATATTTAATTCGAATAATTCTATTTATTAAAGATTTCCATATTTTAAATTTAGAATTGATAGTTTCTTTCAATATCGAAAATTTAGTTATAACTAATCATTTAGTTAAAATGAAATAAAAGGACTATTTGTATATATGGTAATGATATTTGTATATATGGTAGTGATATTTTAAAAATACTGACACATTTCTTCATTATAATTTGCTTATATTTCCAAAGACTGGTGTTGTGGAGAATTTATTAAAGATTTCCATC